TTTGAAATTGTATCGCTAGCCAATGTTTAATGTCAATTAGAAATCCCACATCATTCCCAATGAGTAGGATATCGTCAATGTACAACACCCGAAAAACTACTGTAGAGTTGACTATCTTCTTGTAACCACAAAGTTCGTCAACATTCTGTTTAAAGCCATAAGATTTGATCACAGTATCAAAACCTTATATTCCAGGATCGAGATACTTGCTTCAACCCATAAATTGATCTTTTAAGCTTGTAAACCTTTTGATTGTGATCCTGTTCAATGAACCCCTCTTATTGAGCCATATAGATACTCTCCTCAAGATTGCCATTTAGAAAGGCTGTCTTAACACCCATTTTCCAAATTTCATAATCATAAAATGTGTCAATGGAGAAGAGTTTTCTAATCAATTTAAGCATAGCAACAGGAGATTAGGTTTCTTCATAGTCCACCCCCTCTCCCTTTGCTAACAAGTCGAGTTTTAAAGGTCTGTACCTTACTGGTTTGCTATTGTTTTGTCTTGTAGATCCATTTTCAACCAATAGGTTTTACCCCATCTAGTTGATCTACAAGTTCCCAGACTGAATTGGAGTACATTGACTCCATTTCAAGATTCATGGCTTTGATCCACTGATCTTTATCTTCATCATTCATTGCCCGTTTATAGGTCAATGGATCCTCAACGCCATCATCAGGTGTGATGACTTGTGTTTCTGCCAAACCCAAGTAACGATCGGGTTGAGTTATAACCCTCCCACTACGTCGAGGCATTCTCAACTCTTGAGAAGGATGTGATTCACCAGAAGTGCCAGCTACATCAACCACTCTCGTTGAAGGACCAGCCTGATCAACAACTCTTGTTGTTTTATCAGTAGCTTCTTCAGAAATCTCACTTAATACTAGTTTGCTGCGAGGTTGATGATTTCTTACGTGGTTTTTCTCTACGAATGTAGCGTTTTTTGATACAAACACTCTGTTTTCTTGAGGGTCATAAAACAAACCACCTTTCGTTTCTTTGGGGGTATCCTACGAATAGGCATAATTTTGAATGACGTTTTAACTTCTGTTGGAAATAAACTTAAATGAAAAGGGTAGTTTTAATTTTCGTTAATTTTAGTAAGCTTTGAAACTCAACTTTGAAGGAAAAGGCCAAAAGAAAAATTGAAAGGCCAATAACTCCTCAAAGTGGGAACTGTTTTGTTTCAGGGATAGTGGGTTAGAAAATGGTGGCATATGGGATAGCCAATTTTAGCCTTTAGAAAAACTATAGATCAGTTTGTTTTCCAGTGTAAAAAGCAGAGCAATAAAAGGAGCAAAGAGCAAAAGTGTTGAGAACAAAAAGTACAAACCAATAGAAAAAGGATTTTCAGAATTTGTTGTCTCATCGTCTCTCCCCTCTCGACATCTCCTTCACAGTTTCGTGAATGTTATTTCAACAAATTTGTATTAGAGCGAGTTTTATTTTCAACAATTTCTTGGGGTTTGCAACAACACATGTGCTGGGCATTCCCAAATCCTGAAGTGACGTAAACTACCTTTACGCCCTTTCCATAACTCATAAGGTGTTTCTGAAACACTCTTAGAAGGAACAATGTTAAAAATGTATGCAACAGTCTCCACTGCATATCCCCAAAGCGACAGGTAATTGAGCGAATCCTAGAATAACTCTTTATTCCTATAGTGTTTTAGTTATCGCCACTTTGGTCAAGAATATACTAATCTTAGTAATTCTTCGTAAGTGTGACCCGCAATTTTTAGAACTAAGAGATCGGCCCCAACAATGCTATCAAATGAAAAAGCCAAAGTTGGGAATGGACCTAAGAAATCCTATCCATTTTTGGAGTTTGCGTTGTTCCTTCTCCCATGTTACGACCCTCCGAATGGGTAGTTGCTCTAGAGCAATATGCAGGCGAAACATGGGAATCTCACGGTGCAACCTAGTGGTGGAGACCATAGGATGTGTTGATATACTTCCTTCCACTTACTATAAATACTTTCTCTGTTCACCTTATTATTGACTCATGCAAATACCTTCCAAATGGAGGCCGCTCCCAGGGGGACACGAGGCCGAGCATGAATCTCATGGTGTGAATTTTTCAAAGAGCGTAAAAACAAAAATAATGTATCTCATATACCTTTCCTCCCACTAAGTATTTTAGACGGTTGAGTATACTCATTACTTAGGTATATTATGGCTAATTAAATATAACCCAAGTCTAGGTGATTTTTCCAAAAAAAAAAAACATTCATCACTCACGCATGCTCATAAAACTGAGCTAACTAAGCTCAAGTACTGGCCTGATCTCTAGATAGCAGGTGTTCCGTAAGCTGTCAACTTAAGTACCTCCAACATTAGACAAGATCATGCCAGCTGAGCTTTCTTGTAACCGCAATTTTACAAGATATCGACCTATTTTAACTATTAACATGAATCGTGCCTGGTTCTTAACCCTAAGTGAGCAGCACTTATCTTTGTTATAGATTTTGACGTATATCTCATTTTATGACGTTGAAAATAACCTGTAACATGCATCTAACATGCTTTATATAATCATCGATTCCATGCAATAATATAACAATTTATATCTATCACTCAATGAACCCCAAACATGCACACTATACATTATAACACTTTTAACATACGTGTACGGCATGAAACATGCTTAGCTTATGGTGGGATTTTAAATTTATAGGGCATATTATGCATATACGTTTTCGATTTAATTAAAACATACATTCATAGTGCATAATTAATTTAACACACTAAAGTGGACGTGGACTGGTTTTGGCATTTAGAAGCAAGCAGTTAACTAAATTACCACATTAATAATTAAAAAATAATGTGATCCACTCCCTCGAGCCTACCGCAAGTCAGGTTGGGTCGGGAAGAAAAAATAACTCCTTCTTCTTCTTCGGTTCAACTTGCCATCATTTTCATTATCGCAATTACAACCTTAAATGGACTCTAATGACTCCATAAAAATTAGAGACTTTTCTTCACTCATTAAAGCCCATACCCATTAGGCCAATTACAATAATTGTATCAAATGGAAGCATAAAAAATGCCAAAATCATAAACATCCACTTTAGCATCCACACTTTTTCATTCATGAAATGGTACCCATCATGGTCAAATTAATGCAAATAAAGTGCCTAAAACTTGCTCTAATATCAATTGATGGTGTTGTTATAACACATGCAGAAGCACTCTAAGTACATCAATTATAGTAAATTAGCTAGCATGTTCATAAGCATTAAAACTCAAGGAGTTAGGAGTACTAACCTTTTGTAGTTCAAATTCCTTTTTCCTAACAAACCGATTTCGAACCACCACTAGTGTCTCCCCTACTATTCTCCGGTCTTAGAATGGGATTGTGGAAGGGATTTAGTATATGTGAAGAGAGAGTTTGTGAGGGATTTTCTCAAAATTTTTCCAAGAAGACTTTCCATGTACCTTGATCACTCTATTTATAGAGTCATATTTGCATGTTCATGCAAATGTGAGATTATCAAATTTTGACACTCAAATTTGTAAAGTTTATTTGACAAAGATACAAGTTTGGTTAAACCAAATTTTGACACTCAAAATTCCACTAACTCAATCATGTATTTTTCCATTAAGTGAAGTCAACATTTTGACTTTCTCCATCTTAATTCAATAATTAATTTCAAGTTAAAGTAATACTAAATGATTAATTAAACAATTTAATTAATATTTAACATTAATTCAAATGGCAATCCCAACAAATCCGACACATATTGATTCAAATATTTAAATCTTATTTAAATATCTCCGATACTCTCTTTTTGTTTAATTCGTAAACAAAACAAAAATGCGGTTAAATATATCGTATATATTTAGCGCATATTCTCTAATTTGAATTCGAACACTTTGAACTCACTCGTCACACTGTTCTATGGTTAGTCCGATATGAGCTAGCAGGGGGACCTAATAGACCTATAGATCATGGGCTCCAACGATCCAAGATTAACCGGTTAAACTCATTAACCTTGTTAACCAACATTCGTTAACTACTAGGACACTCCAATGTAGCGTAGTAGTTGTACTCCCCTCACTATGGATATAAATCTGTCCATTTGATATAACCATGATTAGTAAGTCGATCCTTCACAGGTTGTTCGTAACTAGAGGTGGGTCAATTTACCCTTTTACCCCTAGAGTTACTTTTTGTTCCTTATGTCCCACTGATCCTCTAATGAACAATTGGTTTGTCGTCCAACCAGTAAACCGAATCTCTCTCAGGCCAATGAGAGGGTGGGGCCCCTTGTTCAAGACCTGTAGTCAGTACTTAAGGGAACAACCTCTCTACTCTCCCTAAAAGTGGGTAGGAGTGAATTTCATCTTGCACCCTATGTCCCCATCTATTCACCTAGTCTTACCCCTGAAATGGGAGGCTTATTGAGTTGACGAACTCGAGCCACTCTCACCCATGCAAATCTAAGGATAATTCCAAATAAATAGGAGTTCATGGTTAGCTTAGGATTAAGATCGAGTTACCTAGGTCATCGAATGAAAAAATTAGTCTCAACAGTAAACGACATTATAAAGTGAGAGTGATTTTCTTCATGGTCCGATCTTATGCATTACTCATTGCATAGGACGCCCCCACTCACATGTCTCTGCATGTACAATTTAGTGATCACATTGTTTATATCATATACAAAAGTGGGTCGCATCCATAGTGTCCCCAGGATAAGGTACTCAGCCTTATCCCTGTACTATATGATCATTTTGATTTCCCTGTACTATAGATCATTTTGATTATATACTTGAATTGGATCCACTCTTATGTTGTACATATAGTTCAAATAATCATACTATAGTCAGAGTGTTCTTATTTTATTGGATTTAGATTAATAATCGTAAAATTCACTTTATTCAATAACAATCTTTACCGAATAAACATCAATAATAACTTTATTAAAAATAGAATATGTTTTTGTTTACAAATTATGTGTTTTAGGACATAAAACCCAACAGTCTATTGACTCACCGTGCTTCATGCAGATAGCCTCGAACTCACTCTTCAAGGTCTGCAACTTTGCTTCCTTGACACGTTCCACGCCCACATGCATTGTTTGTAGCATCTCCCACGCTGCATTTGCCGAGTCCTTCTCTGCCAACATGAGAAGGACGTCCTCCAGGACAGCTTGGTAGATGACGGCAAGAGTCATCCTGTTTTTACACTCCTCAACGTCGTTACCTTGCTTGATGGCGTCTCACATGCCCTGGGCTTGTAAGTTAACACGCATCTTTATCAACCATGCTGCATAGTTACTCTTCGTGAGTAACAAGTACTGAAGCGTTACACTCCCCTCCCTTCCGGCAACTTTGTATGATGACAGCATTTGTCGGTATCCTAGCTCTGATACCAAATATTGGAAATGACTCACGATCGAAATATGTCGAAACAAATAAAAGAAGCAAAACAAACAACTTGAGGGTTGAGAGAGTTTTTGAACATAGGAACAACCTTAAGCACTTAGTTTTTCAATTCTCTTTGTTGTTTTTAAAATAGCATGCATTTCATGAGTATTTACCGTGGATATCCACAACTACTAATAATTCTTACTAATTTAAGACTAACAATTTTCCTAAAAGCCAATAACTTCTAAACAATTATTCTAACATTACTAAGGCTAATAACTTTTTTATTTTTTTGCTAAGTAAGTTTATTAACTAACAACGTCAGCAAATCATACTACAAATTACCATCTTTCATTTTTGGAGAAACGCTCTTATTTGTACTACAACTTATTCTTGTATTTCACTTTCGAAACAAGTGCTCCATGCCCAAAATATGCAAACCCAAGACATACTTTTCTCTTTTGCTATTGAATGTTGTTCTTTTCTGTTATCAATTAAGTCCTTGATGATTTCAGTTGTATTCTTTGCAATTCACCATGCTCCTAAAATGGTGTCCTTTGCTTTCATTTATGGTGCCTGGAATAAAAAAAATTCCTAAAATTGAATCCAACAAAAACAAACGAGATAAGATATCAATTATCATCTCATTAGTTAGTCTAGATTGACTTAAACATATTGATTAAGGTTGTATAGAAAACCTAAAAACTCGAAAAACTTGAAAAATCCAACCAACCTAACTCAAAGTTGGGTTACATAGAATATTGAGTTGGGTAGTTATTTTTCTGGAAACAAATTGGTTTGGTTTGGTTTTTGGGCTCAAAGAAGAAAAAATTCGAGCTAACCCGAACCGAGCCAGGTCTAATACTTTGAGCTTCAGCACCACTTTTGTGTTTTTTTTTTTTTTTTAATTTTTTCAACACTGTTGCTACTCTCGATCTATCTCATCTGCAAGCTACCTCCTGCAACTACTCGTTGCTTATAGTTGCATGCTACTCCCGCTCTCACTCTCAATCACACGACCAACCAACCAATCAATCATAGTAACTAGTCACACGACCTAATTCAAAAATAGAGTGTTAGGTTAAGTTGGCTGCCAAAATATTTGTTATTTATTTTGAATATATATATATATATATATATATATATATATATATATATATATATATATATATATTTTAATGAAATTTTTTAAAACATATTTTATTCTCATAATAATTTGTATTCTAATTATATTGTTCATATTCCCATAGTTTATAATCCATAATCCACAATTTAATTTGTGTTCTATTACGACTTGACGTTCTTTTAATTAGGGTTTCAATAATAAGTTTTATTTATACCTCTAATATCTAATTTTCATTTTTATTCAATATTTTATAGAATTATTAAAGTTAAAATATATATAGCTTTAGTCCCTCCAATTTACTTTATTTCTAATTTGATTTCTAAAATTTAACAAATCTATTTTAGTCCTACTCAAATATGAATAAAAATTTTATTTCATTTTTTAAATGTAATTCATTACATAACTTAACTCATTAATTCAGAGGTCCACAGTTAAAACATTAGAGGTTTAAATTCCTTTACTTTCACGTCCTATTTTAGTTTTTAAGTAAATAACCAATATTGACAATAAAACATTTTAGTTTTTAAGTAAATAATCAATATTGGCAATAAAACATGTGATGTAGCTTTTTAATTAGGGGAGCATATTCTTCCGTTCAAACAGGAATACAACTGGAAATTCAAAGAGAATTTGTTGCAGACAACATTGTTTTGGTGCAACTTTTAGCAGCAACTATGGGAAGCTTTCATTCAGAGGTTTTTTGGCCAGAGCATGAAATTTGGCTTCAAGACCGATGCAACTATTCGCACTGCATTTGGGGTGCAGATGAGAAGGGTTTTTCTTTATATAATAGTCCAACAAAGGTATTCGAGCTCATTCATCCATGGAATCCTTAGACAAATCCATCACCTTCGCCTTACATCACATAAAATATTTTTCGTTGCTACACAAGTAGTGTACTTGATGTAACACAACTCTAACAAAGTGTCTATTAATTGTTTAAGTTCTTAAATATATGGAAACATTTAATATAAAAAATGTGTACATCTCAATTAAAAATTAAAGTTGTTATTCAAGAATAAAATATTGGCGTCAACCTTTAAATCAAAGTCTAGATTTTATAGAAAAATTTCAAGCACAAAAATGAAGTAAATTTGAAATTTATACACCATTTCCNAAAATGAAAAAAAAAAAAAAAAACCCCGATCGCCATAAGATACGCGTTTGCATCTTATTGCACCAAGTGTCATGCTTGCAGTCAGAAACTTCTTCAGCTTACACGGCTCAGTCGGCTAGGCTCAGCTTCACGACTCATAATCCAGCTCCTCGGCTCACAAAAGGGTATTTTGCCTAATTTTTGCCATTTCGACTATCCTAAATCTTAAATTGACCTTCTTTAAAGAAATTAATGTCAGTATATAGTTAAATTTCTCGGTTTATGTTAAACTGAGTTAAGAAATTATAGTTACTAACGAAGCGAGATGGACGTTCTAATAGAAAACGACGATTGATAATACTAGGAGAAACTTCGAGGGGCGAAAAGCAAACATACTCGAATTTAGGGAGAACGCTGGCTAATGGCAACCAATTAAGTAGTCTTACTATCGGATAGGTTGAACGACTTGTTTAATGTATGACGACATGTGCCTAGTAGCTCTTACACGTGTCTTTTATTCTTTATATTTATGATGCTGTGACTATATTTTATGATGATGATGTACGATGTATGACGATGTTATTCTTTGATGCGATGATGCTATGCAATGTTATATGATACGTTAGAAGACATGATAAGTTTATGATATGACATATGTTTGACATGTGAAGTAGAATCTAGAGTAGCTTTAGAGATTCTAAACACATCAAAAAAATGGATGCTATGAATTTTCTTTATTTGATTTGTTGTTTACTTTTGCATCAACTCTTAATGTCATCACTTGTTTATCTCTCCAATTTCAGAGGGTCACCTCAATTCTTAACTAAAAGTTAGGAGAATTTCTAACAATCTATTGCAAGTCGAAAGCCAATGATTTAGGTAATAAGGTTGTTGCATGATGCAAAATTTTCAATGTGCCACCTTTAGATACATACATACACACACACACACACATATATATATATATATATATATATATATAATTGATAGTTATTTTTTTTTTTAAAAAAAAAAGTGCAACCATTGAAAGTATAATATACCGCAGAAAAAAGTCATTATCGATATTCAACTTCTATGGCGATTTACAAAAAAAATAATTATAGTTTGAATGTTAAATTAGAAGCTTAATACTTTAAGTTCAAAAGCCCAGAATTATTTAATGCTTAATTGTTTATACAATCTCATATAGTCTCGGTTATTATTTTAAAAAAATTTTTAAGTTAAAAAAAATGAGTGGAAAGTTTAAATTTTTGACCTCTTATTCCATGACTTTGTAACTTAATTTGTACTCATCTGACATAAATTTCTAATACAAGGAGCATATCCTTCCGTTCAAACAAGAATGCTGTAACGATCCTAGATTTCAACTTACCTAGAGTCACTATCGTAATCATAACTTAATCATTTTGTGAAGAAATAAGCGTTTAAACTTCATCATAAGATATAGACTTCATCTTAAAACACTACAATAGAGCTACGTGTTCGAAAACACATTTAAAACGACAGAACAAAATATTAAATGAAATAAATTAACATTATAATTAAAAACACTTTATTCTAATCTAACTCTAAGAAAAAAAATACTACCCTTTGCATGTTTCATGGTCTCGATGGCTATGTAGTCGTTAGTCGTACAAAGGTGCCTTGCCTTTACCTGAAATAGCAATAGCACATGACTTAAGTATTAAAAGAAATACTCCGTATGTAACCCCCACTATTGGGGTTAGATGCAAAAACAACAATCATGTGTAGTACCTATCGTATAATTCTATATTCCTTAGGTGTTTATACTAAACGAGTTAATGGGATGTGTATTTACTGTTGTACAAACGGTCCACATGTGCGACTATGAACCCACCAGTCAGTTCGCACACCTCCTGGGCCCCTTTCATGGTCAGGCGAGCATTCTCTAGAGCTGTTGATGTCGGACACCCGCTAGGCATAGCGACCGTCGTAGCATTATGATAAACATGATGATCATTTTTCTGCCTCGTAGTGTACGTGTCTATATCATTGTAAAATAAGGGTTTCCTGGATGCATGAACGAACAATGATGCATGAGATCCCAACATTTTTATTCATTATCATGTAAAACAACCCCTTCCATTTTTCCTTCATATCATAATCTTTATCATAGTTTCCTTACATAAATTGTGATTATGCATTATGTCTACATATTTTTGTGGTATATCATTCATATCATGCATCGTGTCATATCATATCATATCATACATACATCATATCATTAGCATATCATGTACTATATCGCCAAACATGTTATACAATAACATTTATCATATGATTAGTACATCATCATACCACATGTCATAACATTCACGTATCATCTCATAGTCACGTTGTATCACGAACATATCATGGACTTATCATCTCGTAAACATATCATAGTCATAATATTTTGTAAGTACACTACAGTCATATCGTTACATAAACATAACCTAGTCATATTCTTTCATGGTCATATCATTTCATAAACGTATCATAGTCATGTCATTTCATAAACATATTCTTATCATATCATTTCATAAATATATCATCGTCATCTCATTTCATAAACACATCTTAGT